AGTCCACAGATCTTTTTCACTGGTCTGCAGCAGGAAAAAGAATATTTTTTTGCATTTGGAAACAGTTTCAAATTTTGCATCAAAAGGAAAACGGTCACGTCTTTTGTCTATATACAGTAAATCCCCATCACTATGGTATTGATTCCCATGACTTTCCTCCATTGGATTCAACAGCAAATTGCTGGCCATCTTTCAGATGTCTTGGATCATGATGTCAAAGCAAATGGAACACTCAGACATACAGTATTTCAATTTAAATATATGAAATTTCCTTCCAGACTGCAGCAAAAAAAGTTTGTGCTAGAAATATGTGTATAAGCACTGGTTTGAGAACCACAGATTGCAAAACGCTGCTGTAGAGAACAAGTCTGCACTTACATTACATGGAATAAAGTGGATAAAAAAATGGGGAAAATCAACCTGGTGCTTAGTTTTGCACTTGAAAAAATAAAGAGCAATAATTTAGATGGTGACAGGGCCCTGGGATCTGTCCTCTGGTAGTCCGGGGTTTGATGACACCATCAATGGAAGCAGCTAAAAACCCAGACGTAGATGAAAGTCAAAATAAAGCAGGAAAACTGGTTAATAAGGGGTGGAAGTAATCCTGAGCTTGGTGGGAATAAACCCTGCTGCAGATATGAACTGAAATGGTGACTAATGCATCTATACTGGTGCTGCAGGAAATGAACTGAAATTAATACTGTATGGGAAAACAAAATGTTGAAAGAAGGCACACAAATCTTTAGAAGGGCTTGAAATGATGATGATAGTAGCCCCTGGGATGCTCACTTACATAGTGCTGGGCAATGATTGACTTTAAAAAAATGCCTTGTTATAATGTCAAAATAACTGAAATGTCATGCCTTGGTTTCTTCATAGCATCAAAGTACAGTATTTTCTACCCATGATAAGTAATGACTTCATGAATGACTGACTCATCACATCACCCATGATGCATCGGGGTTTGTATTGTATACTGCAGTATTTGCTTGGCACATAAAGTACCCAAGTACAAATGTGCAATGCAGGTGGACACACACACACTCTCTTGCATACTGTATCTACAACAATCTTGTCTACTATTTTTTTCTCTGCATTACAAATTGTTGGTCCCCTAGGTTTTTCTCCACATGTTATAGGGGTTCTCTACAATCAAATTCTCTCTACATTTTGCATTTTTTTCTGATCCCTTGAATTTCATTGTAGAGAGCATTCACTTGTAATTGCCATACAATACTGTATAGTCTTTTCTGGTCAGAGAAAGTTTTCATGAAATGTGCCTTGCAATTTTAGGTCTGCATGATGCATATGTCATGGGAAATGACTAACAGTCAGGCAATACAGTGCAAAAACTCCCAAAACTGCACTTTGAAGTCTGAACTGTCTGAAGTCTAAATGAATGTTCTGCATCACATGGGATGAAATCAACATATCTTCTTTCAGGGTTGGAAAAAAATCTCACAAGTCATGCAGCCCCACAAGTACACAGCACCATGTTTCATTCCCAGTTTGAGATAAATAAGAGCCAGAAAGTTGGCCATCATACAAGTTCACTTAGCTTTATACTATGTGTACATTTTAGCACAGTTTTTGTATCCAAATCTTTTTAAACCAATATTCTATAATAAAAATTGACGTGATTTCAATTTTTTTACTTTTCATAAAGTGATGTTGTTACATGCCAACTGTGCTGGACAGGGGTTAATTTTGCATTCCACAATAGCTCTGCGTTCAGGAAGTTTTATCATATATGATGAATATTGTATAATATTTGCAATGTAAGGAGTCAGATGTATTTGTTGAGTATGATCATTAATCAATTTGCATCCCCCGCTCAAAAGAAAATCCAAAGTTCAGTCAAAGCTTCCATTGTTGGTCAAGTATTCCAACTGCAGTATTTAAACACTGTCCCAGTCAAATTTCAAGTCATCAAACTTTGGATTGGAAAACCCAGTTTAAAATATTCACCTGGCTTGCCTCGTAACTTCCTTCATACATTTTCTATTACAATGGTGATGCAGTCAATTTCCTGCACATTTTACATTTGAATCCTTTTTGTGGAATGAATAAAATTAATTTTTCTGCTTCCCTGACCAGATACTGACTCCTTGCAAATTGCTGCTGCTTATTTTCCATAATGAAATTAAATTATTGCTGGAAGATCAGAATTTTCAAACAAAATATGAACTGCTTACTGCATCAGCATAGCATGTTACTTTGCAAAATAAGTAATTGTATAATGTCTCAGAAACATGTTGGAATGGATCTATTTCTCAAAATAATTATTTGTGTATAGAGCATTCAACATTTGAGTATGGTTTTTTTTTCCTCTATGGTAGCACTTATCTCTGAAAAAAGAACAGGGATCCAGATCTAAGCACATCAGTGGATGTGGCGCCATTAATGGGTGCTGGGCCATTTCTTATTTTATTGATTTACTTTTTTATTGAAACATGGATGGACATAATAATCTATTCTTCAAATACATTTGAACATAAGTTTAAAAATTGACTTATTACTGTACAGGTGGTGCCACACTATTTGACCCTATCCATCGTCAGGTAAGAAGGGTCAAATTGCAAAGTGGTCAAATTGTGAAGCAATGTCAAATTTGGTGTTTTCTACATGAACTTCGACATTTTGAGTCTCTCTGCAGGTCAAATTGCAAAATTGCAGGGGAAGAGGTCAAATTGTAAGGTACCACTTGAATTTACTTGAGTATCACAATCATCTTTACACCTTCATTTGTAAGTCTACACCCAAAAGTGGGGTGCGCATCTTACTCGAGCACACATTTATTCAATGATTTTGAAAATTTGCAGAATTGTGGGTTTTGACGGATTCCAGTTTTGTAGGTATGGCATGCTTGGTTCCTTGTATGTAGAGAATTGCAGGCTATATTTTGTAAGAGAAAAGGAGTCACATGTGTACACATACGAGGATACTGTTTTACTTCCTTCACAGAATCAAACTTTGACTGTGCCAAAAAAAAGGACATAAGACTGCTAGACCAATGGTCATGAGCGCCTGTTTATCTCTCTCATAAAAATGAGGTATGGGAGGGGGGGAGGGCATTTGGGACGCACATTCTTATGGCAAGGTTCCAGCACAGCTGCTGATTAAAAAAAAAAGTTCAAACAAAGAACCAGCACAGGGATCCCAGGTCAACACCAGAACTGGATTCAAAACAACATCTGCATATGATGTATCAGGAGAACCAAAACGACAAGCGTCCATCTCTTTTTGATTCTTTTTGTGAGATCAGGACCATGTATGTTGTGCACAGATTAAAAAAAAAAAGTCTCGCTTGATATATATTTTTTCCCGCTTTGCTCCATTTTTTGCTTGCTCCTTGCCTTTGTTTTTTTTTCGTCTTTTCACTCTATCCTTGATCTTCCCCTTTCCTCTCAACCTATTTCTCTTTTTCGTTTTTTGTCATTTTCTCCCTCTCATTTATCCTTCCGAACCTTTCACGCTAATCGCTTTTTCCACTTACCTCTCCTCAGTCCCTCTCGTCCATCAATCCTCTCCACTATTTGGCTCAATAAACGTTCCATGCTCATTCTGCGTTGACTGTGTAGCTCATTTAGGTAGCGCAAGCTCAAACCCATCCCAGCCCCACCCATTAAATGGCAGAAAAGCATGAAATTGAGGCTGAGGAACAGTCAGGCTGACACAATTATCTTAGGTAGGTGGGCTGCGTCTGAAGAAGGACGCCATTTCCAAATCTGGCTAACTGACAAAATAAGCATACAGACAGCATGGTTCTCAACAATTCCAACTCGGAAAAATTCAGAATATCACATACCAAAAAATCCTAACAAAGTCACATAAATACACATACACAGGTGGAACTTATGAGATTCTGCAGCTGGTGCCAAACACCAGCTCAAACATTCATTGCCATCCCTTTTCTTTTTCTTTCTTTCTTCCCGTGAAGTACTGCTATAATGCAAGGTACCGCACAAAGCAAGTTGTCGCATCACAGGGATCAACGTTGGCCTCCAACGGGGATATAAACTTTCAATGAAAAAAGCAAACAAAATATAGCCCCGAGCTGGGGCCAGAACAACATATGCATCCGAGTCCAAAACACAAAATCACAAGAAGAGTTAGAGTCCAACGCCCATGGAAGGAACTAGTCTTGCACGCCGGCAATGCTCACTTCTTGTCCATGTCCTTTGGCTTCGTGTCTAGTGACTGTGTGCTCACGTGCGAGTTCCCCGACGGGTACTGCTTTTCCAAGTACTTGAGAGACTCGTTCAGGAAATTCTGAAATGGAAATGGGAGTAATCAAGTACAATCACAAGTTAAAATACGTGCAATCAAAAAGAACACGTTACCTACGACGAGAATAATGAACTCTACAGCAAATGCCAATTTGGGGAGTAGCAATTCCGGTGATTGCGATTTTAATCTCAAGTACTTTTTCATTCGCTTTTTCATTATGCCATCAATTCTCCAACAACAGGCCGTGTATATATATACGGGGGACTGCTGTGATGGTGCAAGAAATTTATCATTGCTCAACAGTTTTGAGATACTGCACATTATTATCAGAGTGTTTGTTGAAGGATGAAATAATAAGCTTTGCCAACAAAATTGAGTCCAAAAAAAAATAAATAGAAAAATGTTCCTGGAAAATGTTCGTTAATATTCACAGGAAAAATTATCAACCACTACATCCTGACCAAAGTTCAATTTGACTTCATCCAGCTTCTGAAAAAGCATCCAACCGAGAGTAATTAACTTGATCAATAATTGTTTTCAAGTTGCACTGTTAATTTTAGGGGAAAACAGTGGAACATTAAATTTAATCAGATAATCCGCTATATGGGCTCGCGTGAGACCTGGCACAGCATTAAATCAAATTGATGATGTTTGGAGATTAAGAAAAAATGGTTCATGCGTTTATAATTTGACTAAATATAAAGACTGGATAGCTCAACTTGCCAATGCTTTGACTGAAAAGGAAAAAAAATTGCATGTCCTGAATCATTTCAGCCATTCAATAAAGAGCAATTTTTTCCTGGAATTTCCAACCAGTTCGAAACAATTTTCTTTGTTTTTATGATCTTAGCATCCACCTCAAATGGACCTGAAAAGCATGCTGTGTTTACTATCAAAATTAAATCGTTTACTTTGAAAGAATCAGTATGCAAAGGGAAAAGGTTTGGAATGAATATTTCGTGGAATAAAAAATGTGCATCAGGTATCTGCATATGAAAAATACTGTTCAAACTAAAAAAAAATGCACAACTTTTGTTTCTCATACTTTATTGAGAAATCCATCATGAGGTTTGATGCCCCCACTAGCATTTGCCCTTTCCAGAAGCCAGAAACACGAAACGCATCCTCGTTTAAATCATCACGCTTGACAATGAAAATGCTTATCCCGACTCAAATTGTTTGCACATCCCATCAAGGATTCATGAGTATCGGGCTCTTAGACGAGTGCTCATTCTTACCTGGACAGCAGTAAGTGCTGCAACGATGGCCGGTGAACCAAATCCATGAGTGATGAGAGAGAAGTGTGTCAGATGACGCTGGATATTCGGTTCTAAGATGATGTTTGGCCGAGTGTTGCACAATGGGCTTCGGTCTTGATTGAGCAGATCCATCAGTTCCTTTGTGACTTGTCTGAAAAAGGGGAGAGCAAAAGAGTTTATGAAACGGACCACTTGCTTTTGTCATCAGCCCGCGTTAGTGTTTGCGTTACAGTATTAGCAAAAACACCTTGGGATTTTTGAACAGTTCAAAGGGAACATTTTCAGGGGGGAGGAAAGAAAGTAACTAAAACTGTCATGATTATTTCCTCTTACTTGCTAACGTAACTCACTTTTCCTGAAATTTAGCATCCACACAAAAAAACCTATATTTTAAAGTTTCCAGGAGTGATCCTCGGATGCAGATACATTTTGAGGTTTTGCGCAGAGTTGGTGACATAGCAATGCACTCGATTTTTAAAATTATTTTCATTTCTACATGATGGACAGTCTCATTCGAGAATTTATTTTTGAAGCACATCTGAAAGCCAAAAATACAGCAAACCCAATGACTTGCACGAGTCACACACACTCACACACACAAGTGAGAGGGTGCAATAATTTGAGCAAATTTATGATCTCTTTGAAAAATGGATTGCAGTGGTCTCAAATCCCACAGATCTTGTTGGATTGCAAGTTGACTAACTGGAAATTGTCATAGCTCAAAAAACTGCAAATCACCAAGAGCATCACAATCTTCAACTGATGAAATTTGGAATGTGAAATAGAAGGGCTTGAAATCATTAAAACTGGCGGATTCTTGAAGCTCGGATTGTTGCACTGTATACTGTGAACATTTTAAACCAAAAATAATGCGCAACTATTTTCCAGTATTTCTCGTCCATCATCTCACGCATCACCTGACTTCATTCGAGTTAGCACTCTGCAAATGGTAGTTTTCAGTGAATATGATCTTTTAAAAAAATTGGGGAAACTCTTTTCAGAACTACTGGCTCACAGCAAGAAATTAGATTAAAAAAAAACGCAGATGGAGGTAACAATAATGTATCAACTTTCATGCAGTTTACCAAGAAGTACAGGGTATTCAGAGTCGGAGAAAATTGCGGTATTTTTTTTTGGCTCACTTTGTGGCAAGGACAAGCTCTTTGCGACGGAACTGTTCAGCCGGATCTGAGGAACCCCGGGACAAGTACTCAGCAATTTGACGGGATGGGAACTCGGTTTCACAAACGTATCCAAAATCACGTGCCATGTGGATTGCTTCACCTGTGGGCAGAAAAGAAAGAAAACATCATGATGAGAACCTTTTTTTGAAAAAAGCTGTTCGACTGTTCTCTGATCGTGCCGGAGCTATTCAGTCGGATTCGTCGCAAATTTGAGACCATCACATCAAATTCGCATATTTTTCACTCCAGTGAATAAATGTGTGTGTGTGATTTGATCTTCGGAAGGGAATTCTCAGATATTGTTCATGCTTTTCCTCCAATAGAAAAATTTAAAGACGTACATTACTGTACTGTATCTAAGCAAGTACCACTGGCACTTTTTTCTGAAAAAATCAAGGCAGAAAAGTAGGGTGCTATTCAGGTATACAGCATCAATATAAAAAATCAAAAGGCATCAATTTTTGTGTACTAAGTGTCCTTCAACAAAGTTTGATATTAGTTTATTCAATCGCACTTTAATATTTTTTGGGAACCATTATTTTAAAACAGATTCAAATTTCATCCAACACAAATTTGGTCGTGGGTCTTTTAGGGCGATGGGTTGTGTAAAATTTTCACGTGGAAAATCGAGGTGCTCATCTTACTTGAGGGTGAGTGGTACTTGATTACTTTTGGTACTTGCATCAGAACAAAGTTTTATCTAATTCTCGGGAAAATGGATACAGTATCTAACGGATCTTTAAAAAAAAAGCTAATTAAAGCAGCATCTTGGCCTGCGTTTATTTTTAAAAGAGGAAGAACTTACAAGTGATCAATCGATCCAAGACTCCAAAAATACGCATAGCTTCAAAATACAGTACGCATAAACTGACGATCTTCATCTGTCAGATTCTTAAACGCAGTTGTTTCCTCATGTTACGAGTACCAAGCTCACTCTTCTTACCGAAAAAGTCCTTCCATGAACAGGCTAATTTGACCTACTCCATCATTTTTGCAACAACAACAACAACAAAAAATCACAATGTTAGCATTGCTTTTATCTGCAGCAGGGATGTGTGAAGGTCAAGTCTATGCAATGGGCACGAGAAGGAAAGGGGAATTAATATAGATGTTGAAGGACCACGTAATTGGCAGAGAATTGCTCAGGAAGCCAACACATTTCGAATGCAATTGGTACGAAATGATGGACCAGAAGCCCTCAAGGTTTCGCATTTTAGAAGCACATTACGAAAGGCTCAGCTCATTTGCACTGCGGCACGGGCATCAACTGCAACCTTGCGTGTCAATTTCTTGATTTTTTCCACGGGTTTTCAGTAAATTATTCCTTCATCGGCTCAATCACGATTTAACCATAGGTGTCACTATCGTATTTACTCAAGGGTGCGGCGTGCTTTCGCTTCAACTTGGGACTCAGAAATATCAGATGCCGTGTGTTCTATAATATAACTTCGCTTTACGCGTAAAATCCCGCATGATAAGCATATCAAAATACGTGAACTGATGCGAATTAATAATATTTCATCAAGCCATCACACATGACGTTTCACAGTATGCTTGTAAATAAAACCAATCCCAGGAAACCGAGAATTCAAAGTGAAAATTTCAGGAAACAGACTCGACTGTTTTCCATTGAACATTACTTTTGAAATACACGTGGTAAAGTAGTCTTGAGATCGCTTGCGGGGAAACGTAACTGGAATAATTCAAACACATTTGATTCCATTTCAGATTTTCAGCAAAGTACATCATTTTGTATTTGTTCGACTAGTTTTTCGCGGATGAGGTCATGCATTTCCCTCAATTTCGACTGTTTTTCATTGGAATACAGTACATGGATTCTTTGATTGGCCCCCTTTTTGCCAAAAAACACAACACTACGCAATTATTGTGCAAAATTTAAAGCACGAGGTATTCAGTCTGTCCCACATATTTATCAATCGATTGAATAATTAAAACAAAATCTTTGAGGAAAAATATTTTATAGCTAACATTTTTTCCTGGTCCTCTCAGATTTTAAAGAGAATATTTTTTTTAAAATTAATTTGTGCGAAATCAAGTCTTTTAAAAATTTGGTTTTGATGGCCTGGAATTTTGGGCATACGAAAAAAAATGTTCAGGTGATACGGTCCACGATATATTTACACTGCAGTAAATACTTTACGTCAGCACTTGGATATTTTAGGCACTGTATCTTCAAAGACTTCTAGCATAAATCTGGATTCCAAGCACACTACAGTATTGTGGATTCAATTGAGAATGGTAACACAAATTCGCTTGATTCAATTTCACGCTCGCGTTTATTTATGGGAAGGATTGCGTTGGAAACGGTCGGGAGCACCCTGCTTGGTTCCCGCCCCATCACTATAAATTATTTTTCATCAGTCAGAAAGAAGAAAAAACAGAGATCCTCGAAATCGCGTGAATACGGTATTTTCTAGAACATCGAGCCCGAAACGCGATGAAAAGTAACGCAGAAAGGCAGCAGAAAACGGAACTCGGGGCGGACTGCATATACTACTGTAAAAAAAAAAATTCGCTTGATTCAATTTGAGGCTTGCGTTTATTTATGTTGATGAGAAGGATTGCGTTGGGATCGGTTTGTGCATTATCATCAATTACTTCTCATCAAACAAAAAGACGAAAAAACCAGACATTCTCGCAATCGCGTAAATACGGTATATTCCAAAAAAATAAAAAATAAAATAAAACCTCGAAATTCGCTTGATTCAATTTGAGGCTTGCGTTTATTTATGTTGATGAGAAGGATTGCGTTGGGATCGGTTCGTATAGGACCCTACTTGGTTCCCGCTGCATTATCATCAATTACTTCTCATCAAACAAAAATACGAAAAAACCAGAGATTCTCGCAATCGCGTAAATACGGTATATTCCAAAAAATAAAAAATAAAACCTCGAGCCCGAAACGCGATGAAAAGTAACGCAGAAAGGCAGCAGCAGAAAACGGAACTCGGGGCGGACTCCATGTAATCTCTCATTTGTTTCTCCGTGTCCAGCACAGTGGAGTATATACAGCGAAGTCCACAATTCCCATCAGCTCCCGTAGCAAAAAAGCAGCGGTGGGCAGCGACGAGGAGCTTCATTTTCCCCGACTCGCGGTAAATTGGGGGAAATGAACAATAATTGGACACTTGCGAGGCAACAGGTTCTCACGCTCATGCCCGTAACTGGTGCAAACACTGTCATGCCTCTCATCGCAGGGAGGGGGGGGGGGGGGGGGGAAGGCCGTTCTTGGCCCTGGAATGCCAGCAACGGGCTGCCGAGCCTCGCCTTCCAGCAAATCGACCGTTTCCGTCGGGTTTCCGAACGAATTCGCCGCGGAAACGTTACGGATCTTATTGTACATCTCGTACCAGGGTTGTCCCACTCGGGCCCGCGACCTTGGTTTTTTCTTCTAAAATATGTATATTTTACTGCAACCCGAAAAAAAATTATTATGCAGACCAGATGTTAATGTGAGGCGCTCTGGGATTACAGTGGGACCCCGAGATGCGGACATTATGATTGCGTTGGGATCGGCTTGTTGCACTCTGCTTGGTTCCCGCTACATTATCATCAAACAGAAAGAAGAAAAAAAAACAGAGATTACAATATCATCAATTACTTTTCAGCAAACAAAAAGACATAAAAAAACAGAGATTCTCGCAATCGCGTGAATACGGTATATTCCAAAACCTTGTCCTTATTTCAGATTGTCCACATGTTGGATCTCATTTTCCCATAGACTTCAATGCAAAACTATATAGTGTAATTGGTTCTCCTGTTCATCAAAATTCAGGAATAAGTCCCCCAAAAATGCAATAAAAATGTATTTCCTCATGTTTGTTGTACAGAAAACAACTGTTTAGAAGAAAACCACAGGAAATCTAATTTTTTGGACATCAGAAAGAGCTCAAGAAGCAAAAAAACAAGAACAACCCTAGCTATTCTGTGCACACATGAAGGAAGAAACTCTGAAAAAAGAAGCACAAGTTTAGCCTGTTTCTGATTAAAAATGAGAGTACATTTGTAATACATTTAATACATTTAAAATATATGAAATATATTTCAAGTTTTTGAGATTATAAATATGTCAAATTCTTCAAGAGCTTTAAAAAGAATCAAATAAAATGTATTGATTTTTTGGAAATTGTTGTCAGAGTGTCCCTATCTCAAGCCATTGTCCAGATGTTGGGGCAAATTTTTTAAGTTTCAAGTGTTTCAAAGTCAAATTTTCTGCATGTCTGGGCGTTTTATCCGCATTTGAGGGTCTCACTTTATTTTCAGATTTTTGGCAAAATTTCTGAATACACTACATTGACTACATGATGATAAGTGAAAACTTCCCAGTTATGGCCAGAGTTCTCTTCAAAACAAGTGATATCTGCCTCGGGTTTACCCTTGTGTTAGCATATGTTTAGTATTTTTACAGTACTTCACCGTACTGTAAAAGGTTCTGGGGTAAGGTAATGCAGTTCTGACGGATTTCCGTCGATTTTTCTCCTTGTTACAAGCATAAGAAAATGTTAGAAATATCTGTGCCTGAGTTCCACTCAATGCTGTACTTTAATAACTTGTATGCATTGCTATTTTTTCACAGTACAGTAATTTTCATTAAGCTCTGCGTACTTCATGATTACCTGCGAATAATGCTTCTTGAAATATTCCCGGGAGAAAAGTTACACGATTTAGAAAATTGACCTCCTTAGAAGAAATACAGTACAGATAAATATTAGGTTTATCATATTTCTTTGTTTAAAATCTGTTTTTCTTATCGGTAAACGTTTATCCGGGGAAACAAATAAAATGATTGCTACGAGGAATCGATGAAGTGCATTCATCGAAAAAAATAAATAAACCATGATAAGTTGCTGTAACCTCAGTAGGTAATCAACACTCCATGCTCCCCGTCTGTGTTTTCCCAGGAAGAAAGCAAAATGCGAGAAAAATACGCGATAATTGAAAGGTACAGTATAATTACGAGCAGAACGCAAGTCCAATTTCGCGACGTGGTTTTACATGGTGCAAATACAGAAATCCGAGGAAAAACCACAATTTCGTTGTTTATTTATTTTGAATAAATGTAAACAGTTTATATCCGTTCAACGTCATTCGAGAATTCTGCGGACCAGTGATAAGAATGAATCTTGGAATAAATTATGGGTGTTTTCCAGAGGATCCAGACGCACGCACTTGCATAGTTATTCAAACTTCGGGGACCTGGAGAACAATAGACGTCGACAAATGAGACTTGATCTATGACCTGATCGTGTATGATTGAGCAAAGTAGTGAACACGTAAATGCGTGTGATTGACACCATCACGAAATCACTCTTGCTCCAGAATATTTCTTTTTCTTTATTCAAAATTGGATTGATCTCCGTTATTTACATACATTCAGTGGACAGCCGAAGCACTTCAGCGGAATGGATAAATTTAACGAACATCATCAGATTCACGGAAAGAAAAATCGGCCTTGACATCGCATCCTCAAGAAAAAGTGTTTCATCTTGAATCACTTCGAACAACGAGTATCTTGAAACGTTGAGTTTTTATGAGCTCTCACTCAACAATATTTTTTTTGCGTATGTTCCGTCCTCAAATGAATTGAATTCTGCAAGGGAAAATGAACGAGCTTTGGATTCAATTTCCTGCGCTCGTTTAATTCACAGAAACATGCAGCCCAGCACGTAAATAGACACTCAATAAAAAAGTATTTCATGCAGAGTTTGGATAACTCATGCCCTTCATTCGCATTTGAATCACGATCGCAGTTTTCCTCGGCGGATTTTGAGCAGGATCGGAATAGAATCGCCAAAAAATCAGTACAAAATTTGCTCCGTCAATCTAAGAAATCCAGAGAGAGAGTTAGCAATGATTTAAACTTTCTGGTGCGGTTAATTTATTCCAAAAATGAATCAAAATATTTTATTCATCCATCACCGTAATTTAGTTTCCATAACTTTTATATTGGCAGAGTTCGGAAAAGTTCACCGTGCTTTATTGGTCACCCCGGACTTATATAGAATCAACTTCGCCACAGACCTGGCCGCAAAAAAGGTTAGATTTTTTTCCAGTTCGAAAATATGTCACAGGTGTTTTTTTATTTTCCTGTTAGAATGGCGTCTCATCGAGATGTGGAAGTAATTGGTGCTTGAACCTTGTCCCTATTTTGGATCACATTTTCCTACACACTTCAATTGTAACATGTTTGAATGGTTCTCCTGTTCATCAAAATTTGGGAATGAAGTTCCCCCCAAATTCATTAAATTTTTTCTGTGAACTTCAAGATGCGGAAAATAACTAGGCAGAAGAAAATCACACAGAATCTGATCTTTTGACATCAGAAGGAGCTCAAGAAGCAAAGAACAAGAACAAGCCTAATTTTACTTTTCACACATGATGGAAATAAATCTGAAAAAAGTAGCGCAAAATCAGCCTAATTTGTGGTTATGAATAGGAGTTCCGTGATTTCATCATGAAAGTTTTTAAATTTTCGTGAGCATAAATAGTTAAATGATTTCAAGGGATATTCCGAAAAAATCTAAACTTTTTACACATGATGGAAATAAATCTGAAAAAAAGTAGCGCAAAATCAGCCTTTTTTGTGGTTATGAATAGGAGTTCCGTAATTTCATCATGAAAGTTTTTTACATTTTCGTGAGCATAAATAGTTCAATGATTTCAAGGGATATTCCGAAAAAATCTAAGCTTTTTTAGAAATTTCGGAAAAGTGTCCGTATCTCGAGAATTAGTCCAATGTTATGGGGCTGATTTTTGTAAGTTTCTGTTTGTCATCGGTGTCCCACTGTTTGGTGCGAAATAACGCTTAGTAACACTGTTATAAAGAATTCATCCTGATGGCTGTTTTGCAATTGAATCGGAAAATACGTGTGATCATACTGAACGCCTCGTTAGTCGGGCCACGTGTGCAGGGCGGACGCGATACCAGCAGCCAGCCACCCGCCATGGGGTACCGCGTGAATTCCCAGACCAGGTTGAAGAGCATCATCGACGAGGTAACAAACATTTCCCGTCCCCACATCGCTCCCGAAATCAACAATAAAAAATTGAAAAATAAAACCCCCGGAACCCATATAGCGCCAGGGCAAAATGCCGAGAAATCGTCGACGGGGACAGTCATGGAATTCCATCATCACCGGGCACCCGGCGGGCGAGGAATTAAAATCCCGGTGCTATGGGCCTTTGCGCAAACGTAGCAATCAGCCACAGCACGCCCGCGCGTATTCCCTCGCGCGCACCGCAATTCCTGGCCATCAGTTTCCGCCTTGACGACGCCGTCAATTGGAGCAGTGCGAGTGACCACTTCTCGGTTTCAGGAAATACCCGCAAAAGCCGCGTGAGAATAACCTGCCGCGGGGGCACCGAGCAACAGCAGCAGCAGCAGCAGTAACGCAGACCGGGGGAAACCCATCATGCGCCAGCGCGGAATAACAGCGGAGACCTAAATGGTGCCGCGGAGTGTTTTCCGCGAGCGGGATTGAGGCGACAATTCGAGAAAGCATCGTTATGCCCGCGGGTGGTGGCGGTGGTGTTGGTGTTGGTGGCGGTGAGAGGGAGGGGGTGAGAGAGAGAGAGAGAAAACAGGAGCGCGGGACCACTTCCTTCGTCACGTCGCCATCCGGTACCAGGTGCGATTTCCGAACGTGTTGTTCCTGCGCCGCGTTGAAGGCAGCAATTTGTTTTCCGGCTGGAAATCGGCGATTCCAACCCATTTCCCAGCACTGAAGAAATCGCTCTTATTTTTTGTGTGTGTGTTTATATATATATATATATATATATACATGTGTGTGTGTCTACATTTTCTTTCCATTTTTATTTTTTGGAGGCCGCTCGTCAGGTAACGACCGAAGAGGCGACCGTAGTACCATCGTTCAACGGTGCCGGGACGGCCGCTGAATGAGTCCCAAAACGCCGCGTTCCAAAATAGCGCGCGACCCACAACAGCGCAGCGTCTCGTCACGTGATCCAAGGGAAAAACCGATGCAATTACAATAAGACGGATCATCTAAAAGCCTCCGGTTATTTGGGTTCATGACATGAGTGTCTTCTTTTCAGGCAACGAAGAAATTCAGGACTTCATAAAAACCATTTCTACGAACAGATTTTTTGGGGATATCCAGTGGACAGTTAATTATTTTTGCATAGGAAACCAAAGAAAATTTTTCGAATTTCCGACATTGAAAGATACTCGCATGAATTGAATTTTTGACTCATTTATACGCGAGTGGTTGTTTGAGATGATGCGCTGAATTGTCCAGTCAAACGTTAAACGCGTACCCGAGTGTAATGTACTGCATGCAGTTCGCTATTTTCCGTGCATTGGTTTCTTTCGTTGCTGATTTCTTTAAAATGTAAGAAATAACGAAAACAGGAGACCAGATGGCCTCTTTATTTCAACTCACCTTCCACCAGTGATGTTAACAACGTAACATTAGCGGCTTTCCGTCGCCCTGCAGGTAGGTTCAGTCCGATTTTCTCCAACTTCTCCCGCAAGAGGCGTCCACCATTTTTTGATTTTGCTCTGCGGAAATAAAAAGAAAGAAAGCACACATGAAGTAAATCAAACATAAAAGACGTAACTGAAAGAAAATTGACGCGAACATTCTATTGTCCTGAATCAGAGGAATAATCAGAGCCAATTCGTTGTCCGCGTCCTCGAAGAAACGTCGGGCGTGATTGCGAAAACAGTCAAGGTTCCGTCAAGAGTATTGCTGAATATCTTTTAGGTTAGTGTTTGAAATGCAAGCTGGATTATTCAACTTGTTCGTATGCGTTAGGGACATGCAATGAACAATTAAAATAACCATACAACTGATGGAATTTAAATGCCGGGTCTTGGCAAAGGAGACCCGAGACATTTAGTCAATTTCAGTGAATCACTGTATTATATGGGCACTGAAGCACATTTTCTCCTTGTGATACGGTTCTCAAATAGTTTTAGAATTTTCATACTGAATCATTTCGTTCCAATTTGTTCTTCGACGGTGGTTTTCCGTCATTTGATAATCCAGAATGAATAATGGAAAATTTGTAAATAAAATTTCATATTTCATAAGGCATCCAAAAATTTGAGGCTCCTGTATGAATATTATTCCTGGAAAGTCAGAAAATGGCAGATTTCTTATTTAAATCCGAATCCCTGAGAAATGTATCGCTTCGGGATTGGAGCATTAATACAATGCAGTAATTTAATCTAGAGAGAAGTAAGTTTTTCGATGTCCTTTATGCAAAAATTTCAGGATATCTTCAGCTTTAATTAAAAGCCCTTCTTTGAATATCCTGACATATTTTTGTGCGTAATACAGGATATGACGGAGTTTTCAAGTTAGAAGAATTGAAATTTCAAATTTTTTTTTATACTTATTCCTGATCACATCATTTTTCTATATTGTAAGATTCGCTGGAAATTTGGGGCCCAAAAAAATGCAGAAGATAAATTACAGAGTTGCAGGGTCATAATATTTTGAGGTGAAACTGGTTATTTTGGGTTAACAAATTCATACATGTGTTATCACACGGCTTTTAATCGCTTTCTTGTTCGTTGTTTCAAACTCAATACCTCAAACGAATGACAAGTCGACATTTTTGAATTTTTTGACAGATGGCCAACCTTTGGCGAAAGCTCGTGGAAAAATATGAAGCAAGTGATCCAAGAGCAAGAGCAAAAGATAGATCTAACAGGAAAAAAAACGCAGTGGAAATGAGAATTCGCTGGGAAATTTACGAATACTCTATCAGTACGTGGTGAACTTTATGGTGTTCTGGGTCAAAAATACTGAAATGTTTTAATTTTAAAATCATTGTAGTTCTCATCGAAGTAGTTGTAAGCCTTGTTCACGAGTTGAATTATTCAATCAGTTCAAGCGCAAGGCAAATTTGAATTTCACGCGCAGTACTTCGGAGTGAACCTCGGAATAGGCAACGAAATAAATTTCCGTAATTTGTAAAACCTCATTCATGGTTTTCAAAAATGAATGCTTGTACTGTATCATCAAGCTTCACTTTGTCTCAGAGCTTTTCTCCCTGTGTCCGAAAATTGATCACGATGTCATAATTGCTCTGGTAGCCTCTGGATTCATCAGCAATGGCCTTACACGTGAGTCAGTCAGTACGAATGTCATGGAAGTTTATCGCTCGAAATTACACACATTTCCTTCTCTTCTGGTTTCATTTCGTGCTCATGACCTTCATTCGCACCCAATATGACTTTTTGAAGGACCTTTTCCATTTATTGTGACTGTTTTTAACCACAACGAAGTGGAGAGACTATCCGAAGGCCTTCGAAAAAAAAACTGCCTTTAAAAGAAAAAAGCATGTCTTCCGCCCGAACTTCCGAGATTTCATCATCACTGGGTTAAAATTTAATAGTAATTAATAGTATAGGAATATGGGCTCTTTTCTGCGTTTTTCGAAAATATGGCTGCATTAAAAAAATACACCCAATCACATGTAAATTCAGAAATAGAATCTTCAATATTATACTGAGCATTGGCATGTGATTCTCAGTAAGAAAATACTGTATTGATATTCCTGGAAATACGCCTTGATTTCTCTAACTTTTAACCTTTTTGATTCAGGACTGGAACATTTTTGTGGCAATAAGTGAGTTGGCACTAAATAAGGTTTCCGTTGAGAGCACAATGGAGAAAGATTTGTTCCAGGAAAAATGGGGCCCAATGCGGGGGTGGCACTAAATTGAATATTGACCGTATTCCGGAATATGACGTCGCGGTTTCCGACAGATGGCGCCTCTTCCTATGTTGGGGAAAAAAAACCCTGATGGGTGGCGTCGAGAAGAGGGCCGTGTTCATCACGCGGGTCTCAATTGACCGTCGACACGCGTCACTCCCGACGCCCGGGTGTCAAACACGCCTCGCCAATGAGCAGCGATGAAAAGGTGGCGCCGCGGAATTCGTCGCCCTTCTCGCCAACAGAATCGACGCCGAACCAGCGTCCCGAAGTCCAATGAGAAGCGCCGCGGGACAGCAAGGCCTCATTACGTTGCGAAGCGTGTTCCGAGGCCGACGAATGGCGCCCTCCCCCCCGAAACATCAATTAACCGCCTTTTTATTGAAAGTCCGGATAGGGAGCGGAGAAGAGAGGGACGCCGGGGCGTCTCTTTCTCGACGATGACGAGCTTGCGTGCGCCAGTTTCAACATGCGAGGAGGGAGGAGATGGACAAGGTTCCGCCACCGCCAAGGAAAAGATGTGCTGCTCGCATTTCGTAAAACCCACACGGGTTTCAAATACAAACGCACACACAAAAAAAGCTAACCCCAACGTTGCCACGTTTTTCTTGCATCGCGTCGTGTTACGGTGCCCACCGCCGGCATTTTTATTCCGCGTGTCGGCGTTCTTTCACGCTTTTGTAGAGCAGGAGTGCCCGAGTTATCGGCCTCCTCTTCGGTAATTGCAGAGGAATGGAGGAATAAATACAAATAAATAAATGAATAAAACCATCTATACCGAATATTCTTTCCTCAATTTATCGGTTGGGTTACAAACAGTTGCATCTCGGCAGCGAATCAGACCAGACGAAAGGTCGTTCTTCAGGATCCCATTTTGAAATCAAAACCCAGAGCAAAGTATCCCCGAGACCTCACCATTGACAACTTGAAGCAATTTTGGCCTTTACTTCTACTGCAGTTATGGAAATCCTGCGTATGACGCACTGAATTTAGAAGTGGAGCCCTTGAAAAGACATGCATACAGATGAATTTCAGTTCTTAATTCCTCGATTGGTTCGAAGAAAAGCTGTCTTAGCTGCATATCAAACGCATCGGAACAGGGGTTAGTATTTCACTCGTCGCGCCGTTTTTAAATCACTATACCCACACGGCTAAATCCCTTTCAAAATCAATTTCTGCTTTAAAAAAAAACTATCTAGGATTCTAGGTGAACAAAGCCTGTTTTTAAATCTTCGTGATTTTGATTTGAGTCCCTGACATTTTGAAACAATCGGACTCTCGACAGTACAGTTGAAATCGAATCTCCTCAAGTCAAACACAAGTTGAATTTTTCTCAAGTCACCGACTTAATTCCTTTTAAAGCAATACATTAAAACCCTCCCTCACGCAAAGGCTTTTCCTCTAAAACCTTGTAATTCGGATTTTAGGACAGCCTTTCGCTAATTTTCTTGACACAGGAAAGAGAAAATGATTCAAAGAGAATTTATGTTGTTTGAAAGGAAGTGAAAAATTAATTTGGCAAATGAACCCGTACTGCATCCAAGTTCAGCATCGAGAAGCAATTTACGGCCCAGAATATAACCATTTAAAACATCCTGCAATACTATTAATTTTCCCACTACAAAAATGCTCGTTTCCCTAACTCAAAACCTCCCACATTTTGCAGGTCCCTTGAAATTTGGCTTATGTAATGCAACGTTGTGTTTTGAAAGAAATTGAAAGACTCATTGGGCAAATGAACCCCTGCCTTTCAAGTTCAGCACCCTGCAAACTCATTCAAGAAGCAATTTAAGGCAGAGAATATCTACAATTTCCCGCAATCCTTCTATGTTTCCCATATCAGAATTATATCTTGTTTCCCCGACTCAAAACCTCCCTAAGTCGAATTTTTTGCTGGTCCCTTGAAATCCGACTTGGATATGTTTGAAGTTATTACACAGTCTAAAATACTGAAGAAAACAATCATTTTTTAGATTCAGTGAATGCAGTAGAAGGCTTTGAATTGACAGACGGTCCATATTATTGGGGGAAAAAATGCTTGCAAGGAGAATATACTTTCAGACACAATTTTTTGCGGAGATCGAGTCCACTTTTATTAAATCTTGTATGACTTCTCTTCCTTTTACTTTCCCGCACTGGCTATACATATAGCCCCTGGGGTGCACGTGGAGCCTTTGGGCTAGAATGAGCACAGTCCGCATAACTCAGCCGAATCAAGTGCAAAAAAATAATTCCAACAGACCCGTAATTATTATTCGAACCCAGTCAGGCAATTTACCCGTCTTCGAAAGTCAGAACCATTTCTAATTATAAAACCGACTCGTTGGTTTGCATTTGGTTGGCAAATTTTCCGCACACACACACCCACACACACACACACACACACACACACACACACACACACGGAAGTTCCATAACTTATTTTGCGGGATTCGCGCTTAATCCCAACTCGAGGAATGCAGCGGATTCTGCAGATTCTGTTTATCTTCGCGATGGAAATTCTGCGAATGCAAAACCGAGAAAACTGGGGCGCGTTGGTCCAGGTCAGCTCATCAAGCAGACTGAATAAAGGTACTGCAACGGTATGCTGAGATTCCGGACCGATGACCCAGGATGGAATTCCGTAACTCTACACAACATAAAACTTTTTATTCGAAGACAAAAAAAACGAAATAAAAAACTCGCTGGAAGAAAAACTGACTAACATACGCCGACGTGCAGGAATACGCTTTTATTTAATTTTTTTTTTTCAAAACCCCCTCGCCTGTTTTATTGCGCCGGAGTGGATAGATGGATGGTTAGCTTTCGTGACAGAATTCTGACTGATTGCGA